GGGGGGGGGCGGGGCAGGCGGACCGGAAAGCAGCGGGAGGTCGCGGTCGATGCGCCACTCCCTCTTGGCGCCTGGCGGCGGGCGGCGGCGGGGCGGGGCGCGGTGGCGGCGCAAGGCGTGCGGGTGTGCAGGGTGGCGGTGGACGGCGGTCGTGGTGGCGGCAGGGGGCGGCGGCAGATGGGGCGGCGGCCGGTCACCCACCGCGCCCAAACGCCGGAGGGTCGAGGACGATCCCGTCGTACCGCTCACCTCGCCGCGCGGCGCGCCGGACGTACGTGAGGGCGTCATCGACCTAAAACGGGAACACGCCAGGATCGGGGCGGGAAGATATCTGCGGAGTATTCCGAGCACCGAGTGATACGAGGGAGCGACTACAGTGAAGACGGCCGAACACGGCCGAATACAGCGGAGTGCGTGCCCTCTCGAGCGCCAGTTGGGATGCAAGCATGCGTGTTCCGCTTCTAGGGTCATCGACGATCCACCGCACAGGCTCGCCAGAAAGGCCCGACAGCTCGGCGTTGGAGCGCGCGCGAGAGACGGCGGCGCGGGCGCCGTCGAGGTGGGTGACGTCCGCGTTCCGCGAGGCGAGGCACGCCAGCGAGGATCCGCCCGTGTAGCCAAACAGATTGAGCACCTGCAAGCCGGTTGGGGCGTGCGATGGCACCGCGTGGCCCGGATAGCCCGGGCCGCACCGCGTGGCACGGATAGCCCGGGCTGCGAGAGGGCTTGCAGGCTGCGCACGCGGATGCGTCGCGGCGAGGCCTCGCAGGCGGAGCGGAGCCAGCGCCAATTCGTGCCCTGCTCCGGAAAGGCCCCAACTTGTCCATTCTGACCCGGCCATAGCCCGAGCGAGAAGCCAGCCTCCGACGCCATGTACCACTGCTCACCGAGTTGGTTGGCGCGGGCACCTTCCCATGCGCCATCGGCCTCGGGCCGGAGGACGAGGTCGGCGCTGTCCCAGCGGCTCGCCGGCAGGCCTGGCTGCCACAGCGCCGACGGACAGGGCCGCCGCACAACCAGGTCGCCGAACGATTCGAGCCGGGACGCGCCGCCGCTGTCGAGCAGGCGGTAGCTCCTGCATTGCACAAGCATACCGGTACCCCCGCTATCGGGGTTATGGGGGTTTACGAGGTGTGAACGTGAACAGAGTAGCCATCTCGCTGTCGATCGTTACGGCACGCATGGGGGGCCTCCCGGACGTATGATCCTAGCCCAATAAGCTCCACGGAGCAGATTTGGATTTTTGACAGAATTAAATGCACTGCCCCCGCACGGTACTAACGATCGTAGTTTTGGGGGCGGCGCCCCTCACGGCACCACACTGACGCCGGACAGCCCGAGATTAGCCTAGCAGTGAGTGGGGATCGCCTGCCGGTCGGCTGGGCACGAGCCAAGCACTTGGGCGGCCGTCAACCGAGTCCGAGCGGCGCCTGAGGCGGGTGCAAAGGCGTCCGCACGAAGGCGTGGCGGGGTGAGGAGCCAGGGGTGGTGAACGCCTCCCCGACGGGCGCGCGGCGCGCCGGATGGTCCGCCGAGGCCGCCGCCGCCCCGGCGGCGGCGATGGGGGCGGCGGGCCGACCCGGCCGGCGTTTGTCGGCTCCACCTACAGAAGAGCAGTCTCTGTGGGTCGACGATACTAACTCGGTAGTAACGCTGAGCGGTGCTGTGCGGCGCCGAGTTGTGCGCGAGGCGACCTCCTGAGGCTACCTGAGCTGGCAATGGATGCCACCAGGACGCACGGCTAGCAGGAGCCAGTCAGGCATGCCCTGCTGTGGAGCAGAGCCGGCTGGCGCACCGGCGATACTAACTCAGCGCGCCGCGAGAGGCGAATCTGGGCGATTTTGGAGGCGCAGTTCTCGAGCTTGCCGTCGACGATTGATGTCGGGTAAATTGTCACTGCCGTCGGGGAAGGTCTTCTCTCAGCAGGCCGAGCGCCGTGGCCTGGCTCGGCGCGCCGCGAGTCGGGCGAATTTATCAGTGCCAAAACTCACGAGACCTCGATACTAACAAAGACTACGATACATGGGGTACGATACTGGGGGTACCCAGGGTCCGTCGGCCTCTTTTGTACCCGGTAACTAGGGGGTTGTACACGCTCTGAGGCCTCAGACCCCCCTCTGAGGAGGGGTCGGACCCCTGGCTTGGCGGCACAGAGGGTTTGACTCTGACTCTGTGCCGCCTCTGTGGCCTCTCTTGGCTGATTTTGGCCTCAGAGGGTCCCCGGCCGAGGGTCTGTCTTGGCGCGGCACAGAGGGCGTTGACCTCAGACAGAGGGTAGCCCCCTCTCGGCAGACAGAGGCGAGAGCCCCGGGCGGAGGCCGGAGCGCCTAGCCCTCCACGAACGGCGCTGACCAGGGAGGGCGGGGAGGGGGCGGAAGCAGCGAGCATGACTTAGGCGCTACTCTACGCTTCGAGCGCCCGGCACCACACACGCTTGCTGCTGCTGCAGGCTCGCCCACAGCGCCCGCGCCGACCCCTGCGCGACAGCTTCGCGCGGCCAGCGGCGCCGCCGACCCGTCAACTTGAGTGAGGATGTGCTTGGAGCGGCCGCCCGAGGAGGAGGTAGTGATCTCCACATCCGTCCCCTGCTCCAGCTTGGCCATGAGGCGCCGCGGCGTCCTAGTGAACTCGAACTTGAGGTATCCGAAACCAATGGAAGCTGGGCCTGCTGGGGGGGGTTCTCTCTGCTTGGTGGGGGATCACGACAGACTTGAAATACCGCTGAAAACTCCCTCTGAGGAGCGGCCTCGCGGGGCTTGCCTTGGCGTCTCAGAGGGTCCCCGTAGCCTCAGAGGCTGCGCCGAGAGAGGCTGGCTTGGCGGCACAGGCCTTCAGAGGGTCGGCCCAGGCACCCTCTGAGCCGCTCGTGGATGGCCTCTCTTGGCACAGAGGGTACCCTCTGAGACGAGCAGATCTGGGCCCCCTTGCCTCAGACCCCCCCCCCCTCTGATACAACCACCTAGTACCCGGTACCCCGGGTACCCACCTAAGCTCCTCGACTCGATCTGCGGCTACGACGGCGCTCTAGCTGCTGGCTCTCGCGGGTGTCTGGCGACCCGCTCAGGCTTGCGAAACGGCCGGCCGTGGCGACGTGTTTCGAGCTCGGTTGTCTTCTCCGCGCGGCTGGGCCCGACCCTAGTCGGGGCCGACCCGCCCGGTCACTGGGCAGCGCTTGCGCCGTCGTCCTGGACGACGGTGTGCTGGTGCATCCGGGAGGCTCCGCGGGGCTGCTCTAGCAGCCTCGGGAGGGTCGAAAATCGAAGCCGGAACAGCGGACCACGGAAGCTCCACGGACGGTGAGGCGGGCTGTGGTTGGCCCCCCCCGACCGGGTGAGGGAGTGGCGCCCCGGGAGTGCCGCTCCGGCGACGTCCGTGGCCTCCACGGCACTGTGACCGCGGTGCTCGCTCTCGCGGCCGTCTCGCGACCCGCTCGAGACGAAAACCGGACCGGCCGGTGCGACGCACCGCGAGTGGGATGGTCTTCTCCGCCCGGCTGGGGCCGCTCCTAGTCGGGTCCGACCCGCCCGGTCACTGGGCAGCGCGTGCGCCGTCCCTCCGGGATGTGAGGGGCCGATGAGTCCCTCGGCCCGCGCGGAAGTGTCTCGGAAAGGCCTCGTGGAGCCGGACAGACAACGCAGCTGCGAAGGGCCCGAGGTGCTTCACCGACGGTGAGGCGGGCTGTGGTTGGAGCCGCCGGGCGGGAGGCGGGCATGGTCCACCAGCGGCATGGCTGCGAGCACGCTGGCCGGCTCCACGGCACTGTGACCGCGCTGGAGCAGCCCTCGGCAAGGCCCCTGAGGCCGCCGGAGAGCCTAAAAGCGTAAGCGGGTGCGCATATAACGAGCAGGACAGTGCTCCCGAGCCGGCTAGGGCGTTGGCCCACCTATGAAATGGCGCCGATCCCGCATTTTCCCCGAGTTTAACTCGAACCCGCCGCCACCCGTACCTCGCTCCAAACCACGCCGGAGCAGCTCTGGTCGTGCTCGGGACGGGGAGAGGAAAGTTCGGGGCACATGAGTGTCGAGTAAGCCCCGGGGAAACTGCGGGATCGGTGCCATTACCCGTGGCCCGGGATCCGGCGGCGAAAGTTTGGCCCCGTTCGGCCAAACGGGCGTTAGCGGCTGTGGTTTCGGCCTGCACCCTCTCACGGCTCCGAGAGGGGCCCCCGAGAGGCCGGAGACAGGTCCACCTTGGCGCTCGCGTCGAGCTGCGAGGCCGGATCCGAGGCCGCCAGGCCGTTGGTAGCACCAGATGGAAGGCCCGCGCAGCCGATTTTTATACGCGAAAAGTACCCGACGGACTCACGAGGGCACACACTCGGCGGTCTCGCGACAGAGACGGCTCACGGGGAGGAAAGAACAGAAGCTAAGGATGGGGACGCGGGTAGGGGTGCCGTCTTCGAGTCTGGCGGCTCGCCCGGGACGAATGCTCGAGCCTCCGCCCCTCGGACGGGATCCGGAGAGCGCGCGTACCACCGCGTCGGCGGGCGGCGGAGCTGGCGGGAGCGGCAGGACCGAAGGCGGCGACGCGGGAGACCGGTGCGGTCGCAGCGCTGCAGAGCTGCAGCACCACGACCGCATCGACTGAGCGCATCGGCATGCGCGAGAGGAGGGTGTGCGGGTGCATGCCCGGGCCGTGAGGGCTGGCTGAAGCGCTGCGTCGGGCGGCCGCCAGCATATACATGCCGACTTTGAGAGAAGCGGCCTCATTCACAACTCTCAAGAATTCAACCAAACGAACTCTCTCGCGCAAGAACCACCTAAAGGTAACGTTAGAGACGACTCTCTCTCTCCCAACTGTGAACAGTCGTTATCTGTATATGCGCAGCTATTCATAGCCGCGCCTGTTGTTTGTGTGTGTGTGTATCCGCGCTCTCCCACACCAGACATGGGTACCAAGGTGCACCGCATCCCCTGCTGCTCCTCTGATTTTCGAGGATTTGTCCCGGCCGGTTCCCCCAGTCTCTCGACCATGAGAGGAAAGACGTCCGGCGGGCCACATGCGACGGGATCGATGTGCGATTGGAGCAGCAACTACACGCCCGGGGCAGCTACGGCCGCCACCTCCTAACGGGCGGCGACCCCAATTTGTCGATGGGTCTTTATGAGACAACCTGGGACTCTCCACTCCGGCAGCCGGCGCGATGGGCCTGTTTGAGCGCCGACGCCGGGGTCGTGTGGCGATGTGCCTCGGGAGCTCCAGACGCAGCTCTCGGGGCACGCCAACCCAGGAGATTTAAAGGACCAATCAACAAATACAACCAACGATCAGCTGGAGAACTCGGACGCGATGGATAATCGGAGATAGCCGCGCAGCGGCTATGTAGGTTATCCAACAACGTGAGGAGAGGGGAACAGCAAGCATATCACGTAAACGCCGAAAGCGCGTCGCCGTCGGCTCGCAGCTTTGGGCCGCTTGCTCAACCCCATCGTCCGAGTCGTGCGCAATCTCGCGTGACCCACCCTCCTCTTCCCTTGCACGCGAGTGTTCTCTGATCGTATGTGTGGACAGGGAGTGTCCTGTCCTCACGGCGTCGGCGCATGTGTGTGTGGTTCCCAGTGTGGGGCCTGTTTGAGCGCCGACGCCGGGGTCGTGTGGCGATGTGCCTCGGGAGCTCCAGACGCAGCTCTCGGGGCACGCCAACCCAGGAGATTTAAAGGACCAATCAACAAATACAACCAACGATCAGATCACCCATGGGGAGGGTTGACGTCGTGATTTTCGCCGAAAATTTCTTTTTTTGCTGTGAAAATTCCGGCGTGAAGAGAGGGAAAAACCCGACGGGAGCGCCCAGACCTACCCTACCTACCCCGGCATGCTGGCCGCCCCAAGCAAAAAGAATACACACCTGCGCTAAGCAGGAAAATATCGTTGGGCGGGTAATCTGCGAGGCGAATCTCAAAAACCGTGATATAAAAATTTATTAAATTTATAAAAATATTGTTGTTTGCCACACACACGCACCCCTTAGCCCTTTGGGGTCACAGCCCCCCCCCCCCCCCCCCACGATTTCTTTTCCTTGTTCTTTTCGGAGCACTTGGAGCACTTGGCGTACTATGTTCTTTTTTCCCCGGATTCCACGCCGCCGGCGG